TAACAAATCGGTGGCGTCTGTCACGTGGCAAACAAATTGGTGTTAAGTTTTGTGTTAAAAATTAAGATTAAAAGTTTGTTTCTTATACTTAAGACACTATCTCTGGACAAATCGTATTTTCCGATCTCCAGGAACCGGCCGTTTGTGGCCAAACAGTCCAAACTCGCGAACAGCTTTTCCTCCGACAACGAGTTGAGTATCACATCAACGCCCAAACCATCCGTTTGTGTCAATACGTGTCGTTTGAAACTTAAGTCACGGGATGTACTGAAACACTGGTCGCTCAGACTCGGGAACAGTCTCTGGAGGTACTGGCGCTTGGCATCCGAGCCCACAGTTATGAACAGTCGACAGTTGAGGCTCAGGCAGATCCTGATGGCCGCCTGTCCCACACCACCGCTTCCCGAGTGGATTAACACCTTCTCATTGGCCCTCAATTTGCCTCTAATTATTAGGGCGTAATAGGCGGTGGCGTACACACAGGGAACGGTAGCCGCCTCTTCCATAGACCAGTGGTCCGGTATCGGCCACAGAAAGTCCTGATCCCTGACCACACAAGTAGTGGCCAAGGCTTTCGATGGTATCATTCCCATCACGCGATTCATGTTTTCATCGGTTCCCGTGAACTCAAAACCAATGAGGCATTCCGTCTCACCCGTAGGTGATTCCGATTGTAGTCGACCTAAAAGTTTTTGAGACAATTAATTATCAAAATAAAATGGACGGACAGACAGGACTGACCCGTGGCTAACATAATATCCTTAAAATTGAGAGCCGAGTAGTAGATGTGAACCAACTTTTGGTTGGCTTTCCTATTGAGCGGCCAATACTTGTGTTGACTTTCAAACCACTCAAACGACGACAAATCGCCTCTATTTCGAAGATTCAGAAAACAGTGCTCACTGTCCACTCGGTAGGGCTGCACCGGTAGCTCATTCAGCACATAGTGACCCACTTTGTCGTCGTCTACCACATTAATAGCCAGATCCTTTTTGATAATATCGTTTAAGTGAACCGTTTTGTTGGTAAGTATATCACCACTGGTTTGGTCCCTATTTGTGGTCATTATTTGCAGACATTTCACTCGATTCCCGTTCGGCTCCTTTCGGATGCATTTCATGAAACCCAACAAACCCTCGTCCGCACCGTTAGCTACGAGCCATATATTCTGGTCCAACGGTTTGTCACCGATTTGTCTCAATTCTTGCTGCAAATTCTGGAACCAATTCTTGTATTCATTACAAAATCTAATGAATACCTGTTTTCCGACAATCAGTTCACCGTTTGTTTTACGAAATAATAGCGAATTGATTGAAAAGCAATCAATTTTGTCGGAAATGAGAGAAAATCCAAGATTTTGTGCCACAGATACGATTAGATCCCGACGCGACTGGTTATATATCTTAAGGCCAAACGTATTGCAAATGAATTTCTCGGCGAAACTCAACTTATTCTTCAATACAATCATTAAAAATCCATTTTCGGTGAGTTTTTGCCAAAAACTAGCCATTAATGTGTTTAACTCAGTATTCAACTCATTGTCTCTCAAATGACAGACACTCTCATCCTTATAGACAATCAGATCAGTGGATCCGTCACTCACTTCCGGTCCGATACACCACTCCTGGAGTGTGAATGTGTTTGAATACAACTTGTGATCGTCTCGTTGTCTCGTTTTCTGAGGATTTGTTTGCCATAGAGTGTAGTGAATGTCGAGACTGTACTGAAATATATCCAAACCCGACATAACGGTGCCGTACATGAGAGCTGAGCTATCGTTCACTTCGAGTACATCCAATCGATTGCCATTCAATTCATTCCTATTCTCCATAACTATAGTCAGTTGAGAGCGAAGATAATTGTGATCACCATATGATGAGTACATCATATCCCTGTCCAACCTTTCAATGATATCCAGATTTATGTCACTTTTATTATCAGTAAAATCTATTAGAAGTTTGTATAAAGTCTGCGAGTCTTCAGATATTTTACTCATGAGTTGTGAATCGTTTTTAGATAACGACTTTCCGACTGCCGACTCATTATTAGCCAATTTTAGGGCCAATTCATCGCAAATTTTCTGGTAAATGGCGAATGAATTGTGGTTTTCGTGAATGAAATACTCGTCAAACGGCACAAAACCATAGCTCCGGAGCGCCGGCTTCTGTGAGTTGGTGTTCCTCTGCAGAGGACTGGCTCTCACGCCACGGATCTCCAGACCGTCGGTGACCGCGATATTCAAGTGCGGGTCAAATATGACCTTAAACTCAGCTTTTGGTTTGCGAAACAAGACCTTCGGGTCGCATCGGAACAGCTCTATGGCCACCGGCACCAGTAGTTGCTTAGACTTCTTGCCCAATATGTATGTTTGGAGACAGCAGTCGGAAAACGTGACCCAATTATCGCACCACTGGATGTGCGCCCAGACATACATGTTTTGAATCTCACGACACTGTTGTATACATTGAAAACTTTTGCCGTAATTATATCCACGAGTTCTCAACGTTTTGTAAATGTCTTTGGATTTCATGACAATCGGCCGATCATTATGTGTGCCATTCGTCTCATCCATGGCTTTGATCTCATGAAACACTGACTTGTATTGCATGTCTGTGGCGTTGATCTCGCGTATGGTTCCGCTCACCACAACCGTACCGCTGTCCACGATGTGAAACCTACCGGTGCGCGGGTCCAGACTCGTGTAGAGCTTGATTTTGCCGGTTTTCTGTATGGGAGTCGCTCTGTATATCTGCACGTCTCGGAACTCCACCACAAAGTCTTTGTATGAGATCTTCTTATGGAAAGCCAACGATTTCCACGCAAACAGTAGATACCCGGTCGCCGGCACCAGTATTTTGCCGTCAATGCAATGGTCTCTTACGTAGAGATCGTTTTTATCCTAAAAATAAATCAAAACTATTTTCAGATATGAATTACTCGAACACGGTAATATAGAAATAATAAAATAAATCTAACTTGTTTATTATGACCATGCACACTAAATACAAGTTTTATATTGTAATACAGGTGAAAGGCTACCAAAAGGCTTACCATAAAGTCGATGGTATAGGACTCGTCCTCACGACTGTTGAGGAAATTGAAATAATCGGGAAATTTGGTCAGTCTATAGGACTTATTGTGATCCCATTTGATGAATGGGGAGAGTATGCGAGTGCCAGTGGATACCGGTTCGCTCACCACTGGATACAACCTCTCGATCTTCACGTTAAATCCCTGTCCGTATAATCGCCCGAAACTAGTCAACAGTGTCTCTGAACTGTCAGACATTCGTCTCATGAGAGGAATGTATGTATAATTTGGACTAAAGTTTTGAATCTCACTCTCGAGTAGAGAGTCGGCGGATATCTCGACGATAACGGCATCATTGGCCACACCATTGAACGTGTGCCTCAAGAGCACCGGCATTAGTAGGCTATCGATAAAGTATTTGCCGTTAATATACTCCGAGTCCTCAGTTTTATGAGTGGTATTAGTGATCCATTTGCCGGACTTCTTGCGGTCGCCGCCAATGATCGCATTCAAGGCATTAAGAAGTGTCTCGACGTTGGCATCGATGTCGGTGCTGTCCACCACTTCCTCGTAGTACTGATCCAAACATTTGCTGAGGTTTTCCCTCTTGAGTGCATCAAACTTTCGTTTCAAACCCTTTTTATCGCCGATTTTATCGATAAATTTGCCGCAATAGTAGGCAATACTGAGGGCCTCCCGTCCGGTGACACAACTGTCCGCATAGGCGCACACTATCTCACCCGTCGAGTAGCCGAGTATGCGGTCAGGGGTCATATCCAAGTGCTTCAACAGATCGGTTAACGCCATCTGAATGGCGACCAACGATACCATTGAATTGAGTGCAGACTTATTCATATCGGAGTTGTTTTGTGTCAATAACCGCAACAAATCGATGCCATTGTCTCTCATAATGAGCGCTGAATTGTGTATCGACTCCGCGATGACATCGAAAGACATCAACTGTTGAGCCATTCCTGGCCATTGAGAACCGATTCCCGTATACGCGAAACACATCTGTTTCTCATGTTTAGCCACTTTTTGTGTCACAATTTCCGAGTATTTCAGTACCGATCCCCTACCAGACTTGTCGCTAATTAGCGTAAAGCCCCGGTATCTCATGGGTCGGTACCCGGTGTAGGTCTCAAAGGGTGTACTTTTGGACAATTCGTTAATCAAATGAAGTAAATCTCGACTTATTTTCGACGGCTTCTCAAATAACTTATCAAAAAAGTAGTGAATCGACTCCTGGTTTCGGCCGCACATCTGTACTAAACGCGGATACCTGTCCACTATCGCGCCATTATCTACCGGTGCCATGATTTTGGGTGATCTCAGTATTAGGTGGGTGTTAGAGCCGCCGAACCCAAAGTTGTTGAGACCAATCAAATCGCCGATAAATACCGTGTTCTCGTTAATTGGCTGAATGTAGCCGTCGATGAGGGACGGGATGTTAGGGTTGGGTGTTTTGAAGTGTAGGTTCGCTGCGATCAACTCGTTTTCAAACGTGAGGATCACTTTCGTGACGGCGCACAGACCAGACGCTCCCTCCGTGTGCCCTATGTTTGACTTGAGAGCGCCGATCATCAATGGCTTATCCCTTTTGCCTGAAACATGACATTCAATGTTAGACTGGTTTTTAGTGTTGAGGTACAGGTGCTCAAGAGTAAGTGTAATTAATTTTAGTTTTCAATCGACACATACCTTTACCCATAGCCTCATAGATAGCTCGCATCTCAACGGGATCTCCGGCTTTAGTGCCGGTGCAATGGGCCTCCACGTAGTCTACCTGTGCCGGATCCACACCGCACTCGGCGTACGTGCCGCTGATGACAGTGTACTGGCGCTCCCAACTCGGAAACGTTATGCCGTCCTTCTTATAGCCGTCGTTATTGGACTTAATGTTAACAATCGCGGCGTACATACGTTTGGCGACATCCCGGCGCTGCACCAGAACTGTGACACAGCCCTCCCCTTTGGCGTACCCGTTGGCCCTCTCGTCCAAACACATGCACTTACTGTCCGGTGATATCATATTGAGTTTGAAGAAGTTATACTGAATGCCCGGATTGAATGAGATGTTGACGCCGATGACCAGCGCCGCGTCGCACAGGCCGTACCGGATGGCCAGG